GGCGGGGGGGGGCACCCAGGGCTGTGCTCAGGGCTTATCTGGGGTACAAACCACCCATGGTCCCCAGGGACATCGGCCGTGGGTCCCCCCAGGGAGAAGCGCCCGCTTCCATTTCCTCGCACAGCTATGATCCGGGAGGGCGCTTCCCCATGGTGTGTCCCTCCTTCCTCCCTGAGGAGACCCCCAGGGCCACCCCAGTGTTTCCCTCCTGCACTCGATGGTCAGAAGGGGAAATGGGGTGCTGCTTGTTCCCCAAGCCGGACTGGTTGTGGGGTACCCGCAGGTGGGGGATGCCTGGTCCCGGAGGAGCCCCCCTGGGATTTTGGAGTGCGGAGGCAGAAAGAAGCAGCCAAAAATAGACCGAGGGGAAGCACTGGTGTCCGGCGCTGCCCCGTGCCCATGGCAGCCCCACTCAGGGGCGGCACTGGCTGTGTCCCCGGCTGTGATCCTCTGGGATACTGGGGCATCACCACTCCAGCATCACCATCCCGGGATCACTGCAGGAGCGGGGCTGCAGAGCCAGGGAGGGATTTTTCCAGGCAGGGGCACTGGTCCAGCTGCACCCCACCAGGCAAGAGGGGAAAGTTGGTCCCAGGGAGAGCATCTGGGTTCAAACGGGGCCACCTTGGGGCTGGGGACCCCCCAGCACTGCAGGGACTCAGGACCTCTGAGCAGGTCTGGCATCACCGAGCCCTGGAGGGGCTTGGGGGCTCAGAAATGGGGCAGAGAGGTAAAACTGGAGTGAAACAAGAGTCTGGATCCATACTGGGAGAAGGCTGAAACCCAGTGGTCTTCGGGGAGACAGGACAGAGCAGGGAAGTGGTGTCCTACGTGTGAAGAGACAGGAAGAGTGACTGTCACCTGTGATTTCCCCATCACGGATGAGCATGGGGGACACGGGGACAACCAGCAGCACCCAGCTGAGCAACAGGAAAACCAGAGATGTGAGAAATTTCTAAAGCTGCTTTCAAAGGGTGACACGTCTTCCTGTCTGGGGGGGTGAAACTGTTCACACAGGGACAGAACTGGGGCGGAGGGGAAGAAGGGCATGAAACTACCTTCTGAATTTGAGTCCCCACCTGCCCCAGGCGCCGTGACCACAGCCTCACCTCTGGCCGGGACGGCAGAAGGGGCAGCGCCAGCAGCGATGCTCAAGGGGATGGGGGGTCCAGAAGGATCCAGAGATGCTCAAAGGACTCTGGAAATGCCCAAGGGGCCCTGAGATGCCCAAAGAGTTAATAAGCTTTTGAAGGACCCACACAAACCAGGGGGACCCGGGGATGCTGGAGGGGCCAGGTGTCTCCAGGAAGGATGTGATGCTGTGTTGATGGGGGAGCCAGTGAGAGGTGGGCAATCTGTGGGGGAAACACTTGCTCCATGTGGGACAGAGAAGGGGCAGGATTGGGATGAAGTGGAGCAGACCGAGGAGTGCTGGGGTTGTTGTACAAGAAGACCTATGAGGGACAGTGTCCACCTGCAACACTGCTCATCACCTGGCACAGTGTGTACATGGGTCACGGTGGAGTGATGGAGGGGGGCTGCCCACTGTCTGGGTGGGGATCTGGGGGGTAATGGACGTGCTGTCACCCCTGGCCCACATCACCCTCCCACCCCACACTCATGTTGGTTTGTGCTCCACAGGCAAAATGGAGTCCTTCTCCTTCAACGGGGATTTCTCCAACCTCTTCTTCCTCTACAACTACACCTATGACTACAGCACGGCCATGCCTGACACTGCTATTTCCTCTGCCCCGTGCCGGCCCGATAGCTCCGTCCTCAACAAGTACTTGGTGGTGGTGATCTACTGCCTTGTCTTCATCCTCAGTGTGGTGGGGAATGGGCTGGTGGTACTGGTGGTGACCTCCAGCCACACCAACCGCTCCGTCACCGATGTCTACCTGCTCAACCTGGCCGTGGCAGATCTGCTCTTCGCCCTCAGCCTGCCACTCTGGGCTGCCTACCGAGCCCACGAGTGGGTCTTTGGCACCGTGATGTGCAAAGCCATCTCCTTGCTGCAGGAGGCCAACTTCTATAGTGGCATCCTGCTGCTGGCCTGCATCAGCGTGGACCGCTACCTGGCTATCGTCTACGCCACCCGGGCTGCCACTGAGAAGAGGCACTGGGTGAAGTTTGTCTGCTTGGGCATTTGGGTCTTCTCCGTGCTGCTCTCCCTGCCTGTGCTGCTCTTCCGTGAGGCTTTCCCCTCGCCCAGCAACGGCACCGTGTGCTACGAGCGTATCGGGGGCGAGGACACAGCCAAGTGGCGGGTGGTGCTGCGGGTCCTGCCGCAGACCTTTGGTTTTGCCCTGCCCCTCCTGGTGATGCTCTTCTGCTATGGTGTCACCATCCACACCCTTCTGCAGACCAAGAACACCCAGAAGCAGCGGGCCATGAAGGTCATCTTCGCCGTGGTGCTGGTCTTCCTCATCTGCTGGCTACCCTACAACATGACGTTGGTGAGCGACACCCTCATGAGGACGCGGGCCATCGCTGAGACCTGCGAGAGGAGGAACCGCATCGACACAGCTCTCTCCATCACGCAGGTCCTGGGCTTCGCCCACAGCTGCATCAACCCCATCATCTATGCCTTCATCGGGCAGAAGTTTCGCAACAGCTTCCTCAAGATCCTGGCACAACGTGGGTTCATCAGCAAGGACGCCGTGGCCCGCTACGGCCGCACCTCCTATGCCTCCACCTCTGGCAACACTTCCACCACCCTCTGATCCCTGCCAGGACCTGACCCTCTCAGCTTCCAGCAGGTCCCGGCACCCCATGCACCCCAGCATCCTCTCCCAGCCTCCTGGGATGCGGGTGGTGATGCCACGGGGATGGGTAGGTCCATAATTGAATGCTGGACCCTGGCTGGGAGGGGGCTTAGGCAGTAAGGAGGTAGGACCCCATTGCCAGGGGTAGAGACTGTGACTTTGGGAACCCTGCTGTGGGGACAGTGTTAGTGGCCGATGGTCGCCCAGAAATAAAGTAGTTGGGGGGTTGGTCACCCAGGTTTGGTTCCTCTCTGCCACAGGGAGGGGGACGGCAGGAATGGGTCGGGGCGCATCTCCAGGGACGGTGGGCTTGGGCTCCCCACCTTGGTGCTGAAGTGGTGGTGCCAGCTGAGCCCGGCGGGGTGTGGGTAACCCCGCTTCCAGGCCAGGGAAGGGCTGTTACCCAAGAGGCTGTTGCAGACAGTTCGGCATCTTATGCGTTCCCAGAGGGGACCCACACCCGGGTCTTTGTCCTCACAGCCACCCAGCAAGGTCCTGGCACTTCCCCAGTGTTGGCATCTCCACGCAGCATCTGTCCCACCTGGGGACAAAGCCATCCCCTTCCTGACCCCGATTTGAGCCCCAGTGGAGCAAATCACTGCAAGGTCCCTGGGCAGCCTCTCGCTGACCCCTGCCCTGAAGGGTGCTGGCACCCGGGGCATCCCCTGCCCCCCCAGCACTGCAGTGCCAGGACATCGTTGTGCAAACGGCTGGGAACCTGTCCCTTATGCAACCGGGACGTTTCCGCCCTGGCTTGGGCAACTGGGGCTGGCACTAGAGTGGGACAGAGGGGCTGAAAAGGGGGCTGTGACACTGCTGAGGTCCCTCCTGCCACCCTGTGTGCCAAGTATTGGGGTGCCTGTCGCAGCATGCCCAAGCATCTCTCCATGGGGGTCCCGTACTGCTCCTCCATCCCCCTGCTCCAGGCTCCTGGGGGTCCTTAACTGTGGGGCTGTCAGTGGGTGCCAGATGTGGGCTGGTTCTTGGGTGGGTATGGGGGTCCCCTGGCAGCCGTGCGGCTCAGGGCTAGGCAGGGTCAGTGGCTGTGCTGGGCAGGGACAGCCCATCACCTTTGCATCTGGGAAACGTCTTGCCCAAGCGGTTCCCCGCAGCCTGGCAGGAAGCTGGAGCTGTTGGCCAAGAGCCGGCTCACCTGTCTGCTGCTGCCTCCTGCTGCGGGATGAGGCAGACGGTGGCTCAGCCTGGACACATCTGGGACCAGGAGGTCCAAGTTTCCCCCAGGAGGGCTCGGACACCCCCGTAACAGCATCCCCCCCACCCTGCACCCAGCCTGGGGGTGAATCTGACGGTGACCGATAGATGACACGAGAGCCGCAGGGGTAGCAGAGGCAGGGTGTTTTCCTCTCCCTGGACCAGGCACAAGAAAGACACCACTCCAACCCGAAATGTTGGG